GCCCACCTCAGCCTCCCAAAGTGCTGGGATTACAGGCATGAGCCGCCGTGCCTGGCCCTTCTTTCTTTTTTTAAGAGATAAGGTCTCACTCCATCGCCCAGGCTAGAGTGCAGTGGTGCAAACATGGCTCACTGGGCTTGTGCAGTGGTGCAAACGTGGCTCAAACTCCTGGGCTTGAGCGATCCTCCCACCTTAGTTTCCTGAGTAGCTGGGACTACAGGCACATGCCACTATGCCAGCCTAATTTTTTTTGGAAGTGGGGACTCCCTCTGTTGCCCAGGCCAGTCTCAACTGGCTTTAAGCAATCCTGTTGTCTCAGCCTCGGAAAGTGATTTATTCCTAAAACTCCAACAGCCTCTTTCACCCCAGCCCCAGACTAGAGACCCCTGCTGCACCTTCCCATCCCCTGCAGATGAGTGGAATAGCAGGCCACCTCTGTTCTGGTGAGAGTTCAGGTGCCCATGCAATCTCTAGACCTTTCCCCACCCCGACTCCTCAGGTTCCTTCTGAAGGCAGGAACCACAGGGAGAACAGAGAATGCCAGAAGTTGAGCTCATTCCCTCCATGGCATCCATACCTGACACTTGGTCCTATACTTGGGAAGGAGGGCAAGAACAAGAGGTTCTTGAGAATGACAAGGCGAAGCAGCAGGCAGAGACAGGCCCGAGGGCTCCACTGGCAAGCTTACACACCCCACGGACATTGGGACAAGTTTCTTCCTTCACGGTATCAAGCCCACCTGTCTCCCCTGCTCAGAAAAAGTCAGGTCCAGGACATGGCTGTGTTAATGCTGGGCTGATGGTCCCACAGTTTTAACACCCAAACTGTCCCAGGCCCCTTTATAGCTGTGCTCAGGCATTGGGAAAAGGAGGTGATGAATGAGGTGAGGTGCTTGCAAAGCCTGCCAGAGCATGTGACAGGGTTGTAGTGGACTGGGGCTCGGGTCCTGGTCAGTAAGCTGGGATGGTGACCCGGTCTGAGATGGAGTGTGCGGCCCTGATTCACAGGCAAGTGACATTTATAGAAAAGATTAGGCACCTCCCAGGCTGAACACTCTGTCATTGAGCCCATCTACCCTCACCCTCGGCCTCTACACTCCTCGCCAGAGCTCGGGGGGCAGGGGTGGAAGGGTGACCTTCCGACATCCTCACCCATCTATAGAAGAAAGTCACTCAGGGAGCTGCCAGACCAAACAGACAGCTCTCCTCAGCCCAGTGCTCCTGATGGGGGCTCCAGTCCCCAGCCCTGCCCCGCTTCTGCCTTTGCCATGTCCCCCTGTTCCTTTCCTGTGGTCTCACCATCCTCTCCCCACCCCATCATTACTTGCTCCAGGGAACTCTGACCCAAGAGAGGCCAGCTGGCCCAAAGCACCTGAAATGCTGGCAAGGGACAGAGCCCTTGGCGGAGTCCCTCTGGAGAGTCAGGCCAGGTCATGGCAGCTCCAAGTGCAGACAGAGGAGACAGCCCTAGAGATTCAGGCTCCAAGCTGCCCCGTGGCCTGGCATGCCAGCCTGGCTCCTTCTGCCCAGTCCAACCTGTATTCATGTTGAACACAGGCTGTCTTCTTGGGGGGAAAGGGACAAGAAAAAGGAAAGGAGAGGAGGGGATGGGAGAAAGAAGTTGGAGAGGAAGAGAGAAAAGAACGGGCAAGAGAAGCTTGATCAAGGAAATTTTAAAACCCATCAGAGGTCCGGGTGCAATGGCTCACGCCTGTAATCCCAACACTTTGGGAGGCCGAGGCAGGCGGATCACCTGAGGTCAGGAGTTCAAGACCAGCCTGACCAACATGGAGAAACCCCATCTCTACTAAAAATACAAAAAAATTAGCCAGGTGGGGAGGCGGTTGCCTGCAATCCCAGCTACGCCAAAGGCTGGGCCAGGAGAATGGCTTGAACCCAGGAGGTAGAGGTTGCAGTGAGCCAAGATCGAGACATTGCAGCCCAGCCTGGGCAACAAGAGCGAAACTCCATCTCAAAAAAAACACCCAACAGAGAGGAAGAGAACGGAGGAGGAAGGAAACACCAGTAAACAAAGTTTTTTTTTTGGAGACAGAGTCTTCCTCTGTTGTCCAGGCTGGAGTGCAGTGACTTAGTCTCGACTTGCTGCAGCCTCAACCTTGGGCTCCAGCAATCCACCCACTTCAGCCTCCCCACCACACCCGGCTATTTTTTTTTTTTTTTTTTTGGCAGATATGGGGTTTTGACATGTTGCCCCAGCTGGTCTCAAATTCCTGGGCTCAAGCGATCGACCTGCCTCGGCCTCCCAAAGTGCTGGGATTACAGGCGTATGAACCGCTGCTCCCACACTGACGGAGTCTTTTGTCTTGGTTTTGTGTTTTTAGTTCTTTGTTTTGGAGACAGAGTCTCGCTCTATCACCCAGCCTGGAGTGCAATGTCGCCATCTCGGCTCACTGCAACCTCCGTCTCCCAGGTTCAATTGATACTCCTGCCTCAGCCTCCCAAGTAACTGGGATTACAGGTGCATGCGGCCACACCTGGCTAGTTTTTTGTATTTTAGTAGAGACGGGGTTCCACTGTGTTGCCCAGGCTGATCTCAAACTCCTGAGCTCAGGCAATCCACCCACCTCGGCCTCCCAAAGTGCTAGGATTACAGGCGTGAGCCACCGCACCCGGCTTTGTTTTGTGGTTTTTTGTTTGTTTTGGTTTGGTTTGGTTTTGGTTTTGGTTTTGAGATGAGTCTTGCTCGGTTGCCCAGGCTGGAGTGCAATGGCGCAATCTCGGCTCAGTGCAACCTCCACTTCCTGGGTTTGAGCCATTCTCCCTCCTCATGCCCCCGAGTAGCTGGGATTACAGGCTTCCGCCATCATTCCCCACTAAATTTTGTGGAGATGGGGTTTCACCATACTGGCCGGGCTGGTCTTGAACTCCTGGCCTCAGGTGATCCGCCCATCTTGGCCTCCCAAAGTGCTGGGATTATCACATCCAGCCCCTGACAGTGTTCTAAGCATATACGAAGCATGCAGAGTCCACGTAAGTCCCTGGGCTGGGCTGCTGGACTCCCTGCTTGGTGCCTGGTGGCTGTTCCCCAGGAGGGCAAATAGACTCCCTGCTAGCTGCCCTCCTGGCACTGTGAGCTCCCCAGCCCATCCCCAGGCTGCACTGCATTCCCAATCAGGACAGTTCCTGGACCTTCCAAATATAGCCCATGCCACGGTCCCTCCCCAGGTCCTAGGGCAAACGGGGCATTGAGGCACTCAGTTCAGCCCTCATACTCCCCTGCCACCGACCCTGAGAAGGGGCAGCTGGCACCAGGGAGTCGTTGAGCAGAACCTCAGCCCATCCTGCAAGGTCTTTCCTGGGGAGACTGGCATGAGGCAAGGGCCTCAGCTCCTGAAAGCCCACAGACTCCCATAGGAGGGGAAGGGACTCCGGGGACAGGCAGAGGAAAGGTTTGTGGGGAGTCAGTCGCCCTCCAGAGCCCAGGCTTATGAGTGGGCTGAGCAGATGGAGCCACTGACCAGTGCCATCTCCCCATGCCCTGACTCTGAGTGACCCCACTGGCTGCCACCGTTGCGGCTCCAGCCATACACGGGTCCCAGCCTTAGCCTGGCTGCACTTCATTGGTGTGAAGGTTAATTTTCAGTGTCAGCTTGACTGGATTAAGGGACACCTAGAGGCTGGGCGCGGTGGCTCACGCCTGTAATCCCAGCACTTTGGGAGGCCGAGGCGGGTGGATCACGAGGTCAAGAGATTGAGACCATCCTGGCCAACATGGCAAAATCCTGTCTCTACTAAAAATACAAAAATTAGCTGGGCATGGTGGCGCGCGGAGAAACCCAGGAGAATTGCCTGAACCCAGGAGGTGGAGGTTGCGGTGAGCCGAGATCGAGCCATTGCACTCCAGCCTGGGTAATGGGCGAAACTCCATCTCAAAAAAAAAAAAAAAAGAAAGCAACACTAATGATCCAAACAGCTTCCTGAATTTGTGTTAAGAAAGCCTTATCATAAGTTCCATCATTCTAATTAATCTACCAAGATAATGTAATTACATTTGGTTTTGTAAGGTATACAACAGTGATCTCCTATTTTGGTGTCAATATTTTAATAAAGTTTTGATTATGGGCAAAAAAAAATATCATCTATCTGTCCCCTATCTATCTATGTATGTATCTGTCTCCATGCTATACATTGTATCTCTCTGGAGAACTGACTAACCAGATGCAAACAGGAAGGGACACCCCATTAAATGGTCCTGCTGAAAGAATCAATCCTAAATCTTAACAAGACTTAAGATCCAGGTGGGGTGCAGTGGCTCAGATCTGTAATCCTAGCACTTTGGGAAGCCGAGATGGGCAGATCACTTCAGGTCAGGAGTTCGAGACCAGCCTGGCCAACATAGTGAAACCCCATCTCTACTAAAAATACAAAAGTTAGTGGGGGGTGGTGGCTCATGCCTGTAGTCCCAGCTACTCAGGAACCTGAGACAGGAGAATTGCTTGAACCCAGGAGATGGAGGTTGCAGTGAGCCAAGATTGTACCATTGCACTCCAGCCTGGGCAACAGAGGAAGACTCCCTCTTGGGAAAAAAAATTAATAATAATAATATTACAATAATTAGCCAGCCATGATAGTGTGCACCTGTGGTCCAGATGCGGCAGGAGAATCGCCTGAACCCACGAAATGGAGGCTGCAGTGAGTTCAGATGTGCACCTGCACTCCAGCCTGGGCTACAGAGTAAGACTCTGTCTCAAAAAAAAAGAGCTCAGAACAGTGTGGATACTGTGCTGTCTTTTATATCAGAGTGGGGAAAGCAGTGTATATTTTCTTTTGTTTATTTTGCATAAAGAAACACAAGCAAGTAAGCGTGGTGGGAGAATGGGTAGGACGGGAAAGCGGAGGGTGGAAAACGGGTGGGCACAAGCCTTTCCAGTGTGTTCCTTTTCATAGTTTTGGAAATTTTGAAAGGTGATTTACATAGATTCATGTTTTAATTTTAAATGTAATTAAAATTTAAAGTTAATTATTGCATTACTCTCCTATCCTGTTTGAGACAGAGTCTTGCTCAGTCTCCAGGCTCACCGCAACCTCCGCCTCCTGGATTCAGGCAGTTCTCCTGCCTCAGCCTCCCGAGTAGCCGGGACTACAGGCTCACACCACCACCACACCCAGCTTTTTTGTAGTTTTTATTATAGATGGGATTTCACCATGTTGGCCAGGATGGTCTCGATCTCTTGACCTCTTGATCCACCCGCCTCGGCCTCGCAAAGTGCTGGGATTACAGGCGTGAGCCACCGCGCCCGGCTTGTTTTTTTTTTTTTTTTTTTAAGAGACAAGAGTCTGCTCTGTTCCCCAGGCTGGTCTAGACTCCCGGGCTTGAGCCCCGCCTGGACCTCCCAGAGTGCTGGCTACAGGCGCCGCCACCACCCGGCCTGTTCTGCAAATGCTCAGAAGCCAGGATGGCCCAAGGTCACCAGGGACCATGCTGCCTGGCAGAGGGTTGAGGCCGGGAGGGGACCGTGCAGACAGGCGAGGCCATTCATGATCTGTGGGAATGGCCGCGGGGAACTCTGTGCCGTCCCGCGGCCCCACCCCGCTCCGCTATGGGAAGCTGTAGCTTGGCGCTGCCCGCTGTGACGCGAAGGACGGCGAGGGCACCCGGGTCGCGGTGGAAACGGGGGTGGGACCGGGCGCGGCCGGCAGGGGGCAGCAGCTCCACAGCTGCGCGGAGCTTGGGGACAGAGTCCCCAGCGAATCGCGGCCGGCGTTCTGCCACTTCCCCGCCGCCACCGCACCCACCGGGCTGGGGGGCCGCAGCCGACTGCCGGGCGCGCCGGGACAAAGGGAGCCCCCGGTGGGGCCTGGGCGCCTACATCTTTCCTCCTGGGGAAGGAGGGGACAGGAAACTGAGGCTGTTTCCGGGCTGCCCCCGGCCGGGGAGAGCAGGGCTCGGGAGGATCGGCCCGGCCCGAGGCGGTGCCCCAGAGACCGCTGCGCTCTGGCTCTGCACCCCGGAAGATCAGGGGCGGAGGCCACCCGAACCAACTCAGCCAGGACTGCCCGGGCCGGGAGCTCACTGGGGGGCGCCCCGAAACCCACCCCAGACAAGCGAAGAAAACAGCTCTGTGTCCCAGGACCAGCACTGATACCTGTTGTCACCCACTGTGCGACCTGGGAGAGTTACTGACCCTCTCCGGGCCTTAATCAGTCATTTGAAACACAAGCCAAGCCGGTAGATAAGATGGTTTTTTTTTTTTTTTTTTTTTTTTTTTTTTAAAGATGGGGTTTCACCATGATGGCCAGGCTGGTTTTGAACTCCTGACCTCAGGTGATCCACCCACCTCGGCCTCCCATAGTGCTAGGATTACAGGCACTTTGAGTCACCACACCCGGCCGATAAGATGGTCTTTAGGCCTCTCCCAGCTCTGAGGTTCCTTGAATCTAAGACACTCTAGTCCCTCCCGGCGTCCCCACCCGGGGCTGGCTTAGCCTCAGGGAGGCCTGGCTGAACTGGGGCCCTCTCGGAAGGTCTCTGCTCCGCTGCTCAGAAAAGGTCTTTTGGAAGGCTGGGTCCCACCCAGCGGAAGGTGCCAGAGGAACAGGCCATTGCCTAAAAAGCCTGGACAAATTAAAAACCAGCAGCTCTGCCCTGGTGTTTTCCGAGCACAGCCAAACCCAAATCACACCTCTGCACCCACCTGGCTCCAGCAGCATTTCCAGCCCGCAGATGTTATTTTTACACCCTTTCCACGCAGGGAAGCACTGAGGAGGGTAAACTATTTTTAGAATGCTATTTTAAGTAACATACTGGCCTGAGGAGGTGGCTCAGGCCTGTAATCCAGCGCCTTGGGAGGCCCAGGCAGGAGAATCCCTTGAGGCCAGGAGTTCAATACCAGCCGGCGCAGCAAAGAGACTCCCATCTCTATTAAATAAATAAATAGGCCGGGCATGGTGGCTCAAGCCTGTAATCCTGGCACTTTGGGAGGCCGAGGCGGGTGGATCACGAGGTCAAGAGATCGAGACCATCCTGGTCAACATGGTGAAACGCCATCTCTACTAAAAATACAAAAATTAGCTGGGCATGGTGGTGCGTGCCTGTAATCCCAGCTACTCAGGAGGCTGAGGCAGGAGAATTGCCTGAACCCAGGAGGCGGAGGTTGCGGTGAGCCAAGATCGCACCATTGTACTCCAGCCTGGGTAACAAGAGCGAAACTCCATCTCAAAAAAAATAATAATAATAATAAGATAAAAAATAAATAAAATAAAAATAATAATATAAATAAATAAACAGCCGGGCGTGGTGGTGTGCCCCGTGGTCCCAACTACCTGAGAGGCTGGGAAGGGCCTGACTAGCCATAAGGAAAGCACCAGCTGAGCCCTGGGGCTGTGTTGAGCGCGCCCCCTGGGGGCCCACCAGCTCCAGCTCTGCCTCTATTGTGACAAGGACCTCAGGAGACCCCAAGCGGAACTGCCCAGACCCGTGACCCACAGACTGGGCGGGGAGGGCGGGGGATCACACATTTTTGTTTTTGTTTTAAGCCACTACGTTTTGGGATGTTTGCTACATGGCAGTAAACAGAACAGCAACCATGAGAGTAACGGATTCAGACAGAAGTGCTCCGCGGGTGCAGGTAAAGTTTTAAGGAGGAGTGAAGACTGTTACATGCAGTGGCTCCTCTCCAGATATTTGTTAATTACCAAGGGAAAAACGGTGACTTCCGTGGCAAATTCTGGCAGCAATCAACTGAAACTGATCAAAGTCAGTATCATCTACTGAGACAAATTAACATCATATGCTAATGTGCAACAGCTGGCTGGTGGGGCCTGGATTTCTAACATCTGCTGACTTTTGTGGCATAAAAATTCCTGCAAGCTGGTTGCATGGCTCATGCCTGTAATCCCAGCACTTTGGGAAACTGAGGCAGGAGGATGAGTTGAGGTCAGGTCTTTGAGATAGGCTGGGCAGGATAGCAAGATTCCATCCCAACTGGGGGACCCAGGGCAAAGAGAATGTTCGAGGTTTGTGGTGCGATCTCAGCTTACTGCAACCTCCACTTCCTGGGCTCAAGCGATCCTCCCACTTCAGCCTTCTGAATAGCTGAGATCACAGGCACGCCCACCATACCCAGCTAATTTGTGTATTTTTAGTAGAGATGAGGTCTCGCCATGTTGCCCAAGCTGGTCTCGAACTCATGGGCTCAGGCAATCCGCTCATCTCAGCCTCCCAACGTGCTGGGATTACAGGCGTGAGCCCCTGTGCCTGGCCTGTTAACAATTTTCTGTACTATTCTTGCAACTTGTTTTGAAATTATTTCAAAAAGATCAGATGAATGCTCCATGGACATTTAGTTCGAGAGGACTAGGCCACGAGGAATAAAAGCAAGAAAGAAGAACTGGCCATGGGCAAGACTGTTGCTGGTTCATTTTGCCAAATCGGAGATCACAGCACGTTCAGGCCAGAGGCTGTCTGCATCTGCCTGTGCTGGACATCCCTGCAGCCACGGCAACTTGCTACGCAAGTCCATTCTCCTAAAGTCCGTCTACCAACTGTTAAACGTAAGTTAGTGCGCTGGGACCTAAAGGGGGTCTTCAGGGATTTGGTGAGGCACTGAGTTACCTGCAGAGTTACACAGGACCCTAGAGGCTGTCTTCTTCCACCCGGGCACAGCCTGTGGTTGCTGACTCCCGGTGGGCAAGGCTTTTCCCCCTTCCAGGAACCAAATGGTGATAAACTAGGAGCGGAGAGAGGGCTTGCTGCTGCCTGAGAGCTCTGGTGCAAGTCATGGAAGATGGATAAGAAGACATTTACATCCAGCTGGGGCTTTTTTTTTTTTTTTTTTTTGAGATGCAGTTTTGCTCTTACTGCCCAGGCTGGAATGCAGTGGTGCAATCTCGGCTAACATCAACCTCCGCCTCCCAGGTTCAAGGGATTCTCCTGCCTCAGCCTCCAGAATAGCTGGAATTACAGACATGTGCCACCACGCTCGAATAAGTTTGTAGTTTGAGTAGAGACAGGGATTCTCCATGTTGATCAGGCTGGTCTCGAACTCCTGACCTCAAGTGATCTGCCCGCCTCGGCTCCCAAAGTGCTGGGATTACAGGCGTGACCCACTGCGCCCAGCCCCACCTGGGGCTTTAAAGAAATTCTTTGATCCCCTGCCATCCTTGAGTGAGGACAGGCCTGGCTTCTTGCATCCTTCTCCCAAACCCAGGCACGGAGCTGCTCTCTGATGACACGAGGTCTTTTATTCGGGTGGCTCTGCTCTACTCCCCGCTTCCTCGGCAGCCAGCTGAACACACAGAGACACCCACTCACGCAATGCATTGTTTATTGAATACTAACTGGGTTTGGGCTCAGGCTCTGAGTTAGTAGCGTGTGTGAAACAATCAGAAACAATCACGAGTGCCTGCCCACGGGGGGCTTGCAGTCTGGCGGGGCGAGACTGTAGACACAGAAGTAAATGTCCAATTATAAATTGTGATTAGAGGCACGATGGAAAAGGGCAAGGCTTCCTGAGAGAAACAGGGCAGGCACAGGAAAACCTCTGAGACAGTGACAGGACAAAAGGGGGAAAAGGAACATGCTTGCTGGGCACAGTGGCTCACCAGCACACTCTCGGAGAGCGAGGCGGGCAGACCATGAGGTCAAGAGAAAAGGAACATGCTTGCTGGGCACAGGGGCTCACCAGCACTCTCGGAGGCCGAGGCGGGCAGACCATGAGGTCAAGAGAAAAGGAACATGCTTGCTGGGCACAGGGGCTCACCAGCACTGGAATGGACGGAGGTGTCTTTCACCAGATATGGGGAAGGCCAGGGAAAGGTTTAAAGGGCTGAGTGTGGTGGCTCATGTCAGTAATCCCAGCACTTCCGGAGACTGAGGCAGGAGGATCACTTGAGACCAGGAGTTGGAGACCAGCCTGGGCAATATAGCAAGACACTCTTTAGAAAAATTAAAGTAGAGAAAAAGAAAGGTTTAAAGGGAAGAGATTGAGGGTTCGGAATTGTACCTCCTCAGTTCCAGAGATTCCTGTGAGCTTTCCAAGCACATAAATAAATGTGGGAATCATTAACAAATAAATGGTATGGAAAGGCAAGGGAATGGATGAGACCACCCAGGAAAAGAGTACACAGAGAGAAGAGAAATAAAGAGGACAGAGTTAAAGAGATCAGAACACGCCGGGCATGGTGGCTCACCCTTGTAATCCCAGCACTTTTGGAAGCCAGGGCGGATGGATCACCTGAGGTCAGGAGTTTGAGACCAGCCTGACCAACAAGATGAAACCCCTTCTTGGCCGGGCGTGGTGGCTCACACCTATAAACCAAGCACTTTGGAGGCCAAGGCAGGTGGATCACCTGAGGTCGGGAGTTCAAGACCTGCCTGACCAACATGGTGAAACCCCGTCTTTATAAAAAAAATAAAAAAAAAAGAAACCCCTTCTCTACTAAAAATACAAAAATCAGCTGGGCATGGTGGCACACACCTGTAATCCCAGCTACTCGGGAGGCTGAGGCAGAATCGCCTGAACCTGGGAGGCAGAGGTTGCAGTGAGCCAAGATGGCACCATTGCACTCCAGCCTGGGGGTCGAGAGCAAAACTCCATCTTGAAAAAAAAATTTTTTTCTTGATTAATTAATTAATTTTAAAAGATGGGGTTTCATCATGTTGGTCAGGCTGATCTTGAACTCCCAACTTCAGGTGATCTACCCACCTTGGCCTCCAAAGTGCTTGGATTACAGGCGTGAGCCACCACACCCGGCCAAAAAAATATTTTTAATAAAGAGATCAGAATAGAAGAGAGCCCAGGACTGAGCCCTGAGGACACAGCACAGAGGTCAGAGAGGAGGAGATTCTGAAGTAGGGAAACTAGGAGTGATGGACACAGAGCAGACTGGGTCAGTGCTGCTGCAGCTGAGAGAGAATGTTTCCAGAGGATGAAGCTGGTCAGCCAGCCAAGTGCTTCTCACTTTTTTTTTTTTTTTTTTTTGCAAACCAACACTTACTGTCAGCACAGCCATCCCGCCCTGCTCCAAGAAGGCTCTGAACAATGGGTGTCTGGGGTCTGTGGGAGAGAGGGGTCAGCACCATGAGAACTGCTGGAGCCACCACAGGGGCTGGCTGGGTCAGAGGCAGGGTCTGGGGGGCCAGCAGCGGGTGTGGCAGCTGTGGAGGAGCTGGGCCTGGGCTCCCCCTGGCTCATCTGCAGCAGGCCGGTGAGAGCTATCAGCTCCGGCCCACTGAGCCAGGTGGTAGAGCAGCCTGGGAAGGGTGACAGGCTGGGGAAGACCCAGGGGGACATTATGGGGGGTGGCGGCAGCAGCTTCATCACCTGCTGGGGGGCCTCGGAAAGGTACAAGGGACTCACTGTCCCTGGGACAGCAGAGGGTCTGAGAAGAAGACGTCTTCATGGCACATCACCCGGAACCCAGGCCATTGATTTGATGGGGACATGGAGCTGATTCAAGAGTGGGTGAGTGGCGGTGGCAGCGCGTGCGGGAAGACAGCTCATGGAGGATGGCTCGTTTCTCCTTAATCCGTAGCCACATGCGCTATGAACTTATCCCATCTCTTCTTCCAGACTGCCATGAAAGTATTTTTCTCAGTCTCCAACAGGCTACTGTACCTGCCGGAAGAGGAGGAGCCCAGGTCAGCCTCAGGGCAGGGGCTGGGAAAGGGCCAGGGAGCCTGAGGGGACATCGGAGGCTTGCAGAAAAGTCTCCCCAGTCCAGCAGCTAGGACTGACCAGCCATGATAAGAAGGAACCCACAGAAACCACCGAGGCATCAGCTTCAAGCCTCCTCAGATGCAAACAGGAGCTGTGGGCTGGAAGGCGGGCAGGGGGCCTGGGAGGACATGAGACACTCACTTGATAGAGTTGATGGCCAGCTGTTTGAGGGTCCTCAGGTCAGCCTTCATCCCCCCAATGCCCATGAAGACCTCATAGAAATCGTAGGACAAGCCTTTGGCACCAAAGATTGCTGGGTCATCAGAGCTGATCACCATGGGGTGCCCAGTGGCCATCAGAGTAGCTGCAGGGTGGTTTCTCAAATCAGACACCAGTTTCAGAACCTGCCCAGTAGGAGGCAAGGGAGAAAGATGAACTCCGATCCCTAAAAAGAGTAGTCTCGGCCAGGCGCGGTGGCTCAAGCCTGTAATCCCAGCACTTTGGGAGGCTGAGGCGGGTGGATCACGAGGTCAAGAGATCGAGACCATCCTGGTCAACAAGGTGAAACCCCATCTCTACTAAAAATACAAAAAATTAGCTGGGCACAGTGGCGCGTGCCTGTAATCCCAGCTACTCAGGAGGCTGAGGCAGGAGAATTGCCTGAACCCAGGAGGCGGAGGTTGCGGTGAGCTGAGATCACGCCATTGCACTCCAGCCTGGGTAACTCCATCTCAAAAAAAAAAGGAAGAGAGAAGTTATACAGGAAAAAGTTTAAGAGGGCAGAGGTTGTGGTTAGAGGAGATCATGGGGATCAGCCGCATGAGTCACACATACCTGGTTAGAGATGGGACAGACTTCTACCGGGACGTCCTTTTTCCTCGAGTAAGCCCTGAGGGCGGGGTGTTTGTTCAGAGCAAATCCATGTCCGATCCTGGTAGTGTTTAGCATCAAAGCATCCAGAATGTTCTTGTCTATGGAAGTGCCCTGCCAGTCTGAAGACAGGGGAATGGTCTTCCATGGGGGATGGATGGGTCGGACCCCCCAGAACATCCTCAAATAAGCAGCCCCCCCAAGCATGAAAATGAAAAGAAATTAACATCAACACAAACACACACACACACAGTTTCCTTTGAACAATCCTAAAGAGAGGTATGATACGGCTTTATTAATCATCTAATTTATTAATTTATCATTCTAATGAGGAAGCTGAAACTTAATAGCTTTTATGAATTGACCAAGGATATTCACCTAGTAAGTAGCAAAACCAAGTTTTAAACCTTGGTCTCTCTGACCTCACAGTCCACTTTTTTTTTTTTTTCTGAGACAAAGTCTTGCTCTCTCTATTGCCCAGGCTGGAGTGCAATGGCACGATCTCGGCCCAGTGCAACCTCCGCCTCCCGGGTTCAAGCCATTCTCCTGCCTCAGCCTCCCTAGAAGCTGGGATTACAGATGCCCACCACCATACCCGCTATTTTTTGTATTTTGAGTAGAGATGAGGTTTCACCATGTTGGCCAGGCTGGTCTCAAACTCCTGACCTCAGGTGATCCACCCACCTTGGCCTCCCAAAGTGCTGGGATTACAGACGTGAGCCACCACGCCCGGCTCTGGGACTCTTGTGTTTATAATCTTTACAATAAGGTGTTACAAGGTTCTCTTATTTACAACGTCAGTATAAGTACCTGTATGTGCTCACTTTAAGAATTTAATGGCACTGTCAAGACGTTATCCCTTGCTAGGGGACCGTAGACATTCTTGTGGCCTCCTCCCCTGCTGTCTCCATCATACCTTTCTTGCAGCTAAGGCCCTCGGTGGAGGGTGAAAGGTCAGATGTGGCTTTCCCAGACTCCCTTCCAGCTAAAATAGCCTTAACACTGGCCTGGGAGGTTATTTCTTGGAGAGCTTTGGGGAATTCCTCCCTGATGAAAGGAGATGCACTGGGGGGCTGTCTCCTATTTTATTTCACTGGATATGGTCACCCCGAATGTAATTCACCATCTGACAACCAAGTGGGGCAGAATCACCCACGAAATGGGCATAGTAGAGATTGCTTCTTTTTTTTTGAGACGGAGTCTCACTCTGTAGCCCAGGCTGGAGTACAGTGGCACAATCTCGGCTCACTGCAACCTCGGCCTCCTGGGTCCCAGTTCAAGCAATTCTCCTGCCTCAGCCTCATTAGTAGCTGGGATTACAGGCATGCGCCACCACACCCAGCTAATTTTTGTATTTTTAGTAGACATGGGGTTTCACCTGTTGGCCGTGCTGGTCTTGAACTCCCGACTTTGTGATCCACCTGCCTCGGCCTCCCAAAGTGCTGGGATTACAGGCGTGAGCCACCACGCCTGACCCAGAGATTGCTTCTTATGTGAGATAACAAATGTCCTTATTGTAAACTCTGTGGGATGCATTCTTGCAGCCATAAGCATTCTAATGGATTCACATATAAAATGTGAAAATTTGGCTAGGTATAGTGGCTCACAGCTGTAATGCCAGCATTTTGGGAGGCTGAGGCAGGAGGATCGCTAGAGCCCGAGTTCAAGACCAGCCTGGGCAACATAGAGAGACCCTGTATCTACAAAAATTATGGCCAGGCGCAGGTGACCTGTAATCCTAGCACTTTGGGAGGCCAAGGCGGACCTCCCAAAGATCATGAGGTCAGCAGTTCGAGACCAGCCTGGCCAATATGGTGAAACCCCATCTCTACTAAAAATACAAAACATTAGCCGGGTGTGGTGGTTCATGTCTGTAGTCCCAGCTACTCAGGAAGCTAAGGCAGGAGAAACGCTTGAACCCGGGAAGCAGAGGTTGCAGTGAGCCAAGATCACACCACTACACTCCAGTCTGGACGACAGATGAGATTCCATCTCAAAAAAGAAAAGAAAAAGTACAAAAATTAGCCAGGCATGGTGGTGTGTGCCTGTAGTCCCAGCTACTTGGGAGGCTGAGGTGGAAGGATCGCCTGAACCCAGGAGGTAAAGGCTGTCGTGAGCCATGGTCATGCCACTGCACTCTAGCCTGGGAGACGGAGTGACACCCTGTCTCAAAATATATATATGAACATTTCACTTTTCTGGTAGAAATAAAACTCAAGAATTTTTATCGCTACCTAACACATATATTTTGGTGGATTTTCACTGGTTTTTAAAGATTTCTTCTTCTTTTTAAAAATAAGGACATTACTTTTAGGTTTTTGTTTTTTGAGACGGAGTTTCGCTCTTGTTACCCAGGCTGGAGTGCAATGGCGCGATCTCAGCTCACCGCAACCTCCGCCTCCTGGGTTCAGGTAATTCTCCTGCCTCAGCCTCCTGGGTAGCTGGGATTACAGGCACGCGTCACCATGCCCAGCTAATTTTTGTATTTTTAGTAGAGATGGGGTTTCACCGTGTTGACCAGGATGGTCTCGATCTCTTGACCTCATGATCCACCCGCCTCGGCCTCCCAAAGTGCTGGGATTACAGGCGTGAGCCACGGCGCCCGGCCTCTTTTAGGTATTAAATACCCAAGTCCTAGCAAAGTTGTCTCCAAGGATCACACATCTTGGAACTGGCTAGGTCCTGCGTTGCAACGTTTTGTACTGCCAGAATTATGTCACACACGCACGATTTTCCCCAACTAGACCACAAGCTCTTCAAGGTTAACAACCCCCTCCCCTTCAAACAATTCTTCTGCTCTCCTAGAGCAGACTTCGATCTAAATTGGATCTAAATGGACTGAAATGTCAGGAAAAAGAGATTAGTGCAGAGGGTCCCTTCCTCTAGAGATAGCATGATAAAGCAAAGCCTGCGTCTGGGTGGGAGACGAAGCTGCCCACCACTCTCTCCACCCCTCCTTGGTTTTCTGAGAGTGACAGGTAGGATGCCGTGGAGAGCTGCCCTCCTGGTCCCGGCCTCCATGTAAACGGCCTCCCCCGAAATCTTCCTTCGGATCCGAAATTGCGGCCATGATCTTGCTCAGGTTTACACATTTTAAGAACTGGACTATGGAGGGGCTAAGATGACTGAAAAAGCCCAGGAAGGAGTTCTGGGGAAGAAGGATGGGGCTGGACTAATGGCATTTCAGGAGGAATACCAGCCAGGGCCTGCACGGGGCAGGGCGGGGTTTCCCCTCCTGCAATGATGAGGGACAAAACACCCTAAGACAAGGAGCAGTCCTGGTTCTCCTCCCTCTTCTGCCTACTTCCAGCTCTGTGGCTTTGGACAGATCAGTTAAGCTCTCAAGCACAATTCCCTCGAGGATAGAGAGCTTAAGACAGGGTTCCAATTCATATGCGTTATATACATGCATCAAAATACTACACGTGGCCAGGTGTGGTGGCTCACGCCTGTAATCCCAGCACTTTGGGAGATCAAGGCGGACAGATCATTTGAGGTCGGAAGTTCAAGACCAGCCTGGCCAACAGGGTGAAACCCGGCCCTACTACTAAAAGTTCCAAAAATTAGCCAGGTGGGTATCAGGACCCTGCAATCCCAGCAACTCCAGAGATTGCTTGAACACTGGAGACAGTGAGCTGAAATCGCACCACTGCACTCCAGCCTCGGCTACAGGGTAAGATTCAGTCTGAAAATGTTTTTGTTCTGTGGCTCATGCCTGTATTCCCAACTCTTTGGGAGGCCAAGGTGAGTGGATCACTTGAGGTCAGGAGTTCAAGACCAGCCTGACCAAACAGTGAAACCCCATCTCTACTAAAAATACAAAAATTAGTCAGACATGGTGGCGCAAGCCTGTAATCCCAGCTACTCCAGTGGCTGAGGCAGGAGAATCACTTGAACCCAGGAGGCAAGGTTGCAGTGAGCTAAGATCTCACCACTGCACTCCAGCCTGGGTGACAGAGTGAGACTCGGTCTCAAAAATTTTTTATATTTGTGTAGAATGGGATCTTGCTATGTTGCCCAGACTGGTCTTAAACTCCTGGGCTCAAGTGATTCTCCTGCTTCTGCCTCCCTAAATTCTAGGATTACAGATGTGAGCTACCATACCCGACTAAGACAATTTTTTTTTTTTTGAGACAGAGTGTAGCTCTGTCACCTGAGCTGGAGTGCAGTGATCCTGGGCTCAGGTGACCCTCCTACTTCAGCCTCTAAGTAGCTGGTATCACACGTGTGTGCCATCGTGCCTGGCTATGTCTTGTATTTTTTGTAGAGACAAGGTTTTGTCATGTTGCCCCGGCAGGTCTCAAACTCCTAGATTTAAGAGATCCACCCACATCAGCCTCGAAAGTGCCAGGATTACAGGCATGAGCCACTGCGCCTGTGCCCAGCCTAAAACAAATTTTTATAGCCAAAGTAGGATGATGTGAGTTTGCAGGATTATGTACCCACCATGAAAAACCAAAAAAAAAGAAGAAGGATTCAAAATCAGACTGCACTGCATGCCGGCTCTTTAACCCTGGACCACTAACACTAAGCTTGGAGCGCTGGGCTCTTCATCTATGGAACGGAGATTAAAACACGAGCAGGACTGGGGTGAGAATGAGAAATAAATAAAAAATAATACATGTAAAGTGGCTGATTCTATCATCCCTCTTATTCCTTCTCCGTAGGGCTGCTGTCAGGATTCAATGAGAACACGGGAGAGGGTTCTGGAAGCATCTGCAGGCCCTAAGCCTGAGGCGCCGTCGCTGCCGTCCTGTCTCCCGGCAGCAGGCTGCAGTTGTGGCTAGGAGCTCTCCCACTGCCCACCTCTGCTGATGCCCGCAGACTCACCTGTCTCTCCGGCGTGGAAGAAGTAAGGCAGCTTAACACCATCCTTGGCGGGAATCATCAGGGCTCTGTTGTGGTAGTGCAAGGAGTGGCCAGTGTCCTCACGCCCCACCTGCAGGACAGAGAGGGACAGGTGTCTGCGGGGCACGTGCCTCACTTGCTGATGGCGCCCTTTATAGCCCGTGCACACCCTCCCTTGTATGCTGCTGCCACTGCCGGGACCTTTGTCATGCAACCTTTTAAGACTGGCAAGGAGCTGCCGGGTGCGGTGTTGCACACCTATAATCCCAGCACTTTGGGAGGCCGAGGCAGGTGGATCACGAGGTCAAGAGATCGAGACCATCCTGGTCAACATGGTGAAACCCCATCTCTACTGAAAATACAAAAATTAGCTGGGCATGGTGGCGCGTGCCTGTAGTCCCAGCTATTTGGGAGGCTGAGACAGGAGAATTGCTTGAACCCAGGAGGCAGAGGTTGCAGTGAGCCGAGATCGTGCCATTGCACTCCAGCCTGGGTAACAAGAGCGAAACTCCGTCTCAAAAAAAAAAAAAAAAAAAAGAATGGGAAGGAACATAGTTGAGAAAGAAAAGAGAGCTCATTCGTCCCCTGAAATAGTTCCCCTGTTTTCAGAGTTTATGTCTTGTATGCCCCCAGCCCCTTCCACCCTGGCTCCTCACAGCACCTCCCAGGCCCAAGTGCTTCAGCCCTGAGCACCTGAGGTGGAGAAGGAGAGTCAGAGGGAGACCTAAAGAGACCTCTGTAGGAGGTTGCAGTAAGCCGAGATCATGCCACTGCACTCCAGTCTGGCACCTGGCAAGACAAGACTGTCTCAAAAAAAAAAAAAAAGAGAGACCCAGAGAGTGTAAGACAGAGAGAGAGAATGAAAGCCCGGCCCCAGGAGTCAGAGGACTCCAGCCACCACTGCCATCCACCTCTTGTAGGCCCGTGTGTCAGTTTCCCTGAGACTCAGTTTCTTGCCTATAGCAGGAAGAGCAACCACACCAAAACTGTGCTTTTCAAAGCTGTGGGGCTCTGTAGCTGAGCGCTTCGGGATTAAAAGGGCACCTCTTGGCTGGGTGCGGTGGCTCACACCTGTAATCCCAGCACATTAGGAGGCCAAGGCCTGGCCAACACAGCGAAACTCTGTCTCTCCTAAAAATGCAAACATGAGGCCCGGTGTGGTGGCTCACGCCTATAATCCCAGCCCTTTGGGAGCCCAAGGCAGGTGGGTCACCTGAGGTCGGGAGTTCGAGACCAGCCTGACCAACATGGAGAAACCCTGTCTCTACTAAAAATACACACACACACAAAATGAGCTGGGTGTGGTGGCATATGCCTATAATCCCAGCTACTTGGGAGGCTGAAGCAGGAGAATCGCTTGAACCCGGGAGGTGGAGGTTGTAGTGAGCTGAGACGGCGCCATTGCACTCCAGCCTGGGTAACAAGAGCAAAACTCTGTCTCAAAAAAAGAAATGCAAAAATGAGTCAAGCATGGTGGTGGGCACTTGTAATTCCATCTACTCAGGAGGCTGAGGCAGGAGAATCACTTGAACCCGGGAGGTGGAGGTTGCAGTGAGCGGAGATCACGCCACTGCACTCCAGCCTGGGCAACAGAGCGAGACTCTGCTGACCCTCCCACCTTGCCCCTCCAGTTCTGAGATTACAGGCATGAGCCACTGTCTTGACCTAATCTAGATTTTTTTTTTTTTTTTTTTTTGATGGAGTCTCTGTGGCCCAGCTGGAGTGCAGTGGTGCAATCTCGGCTCACTACAACCTCCACCTCCTGAGTTCAAGTGATTCTGCCTCAGCCTCCCAAGTAGCTGGTATTACAGGTGTGGACCACCACGCCTGGCTAATTTTTGTATTTTTTGTAGGGACAGCGTTTTGCCATGCTGGCCGGGCTAGTCTTGAACTCCTGACCTGAGGTGATCCACCTGCCTCAGCCTCCCAAAGTGCTGGGATTACAGGCGTGAGCCACTGCACCTGGCCAGTGCCACTGCTCTGGGTCTAGATTCTTAATTAATGAGCTTTCACCTAAGAAATCTGTCCTGGCTGTGCTTTGATTTGGTGGGGGGTGTGGGACAATGACAACACGTATGAATGCACAGCTTCAGAAACAGGTGTGGCTGGGCACGGTGGTTCACACCTATAATCCCAACACTTTGGAAGGCTAAGGCGAGTGCATCGTGAGGTCAGGAGTTTGAGACCAGCCTGATCAACACAGTGAAACACTGTCTCTACTGAAAGTACAAAAATTACGAGGCTGAGGCAGGAGAATCACTTGAACCTGGAAGGCGGAGTTTGCAGCGAGCTGAGATCGCACCACTGCACTCCAGCCTGGGTGACAAAGTGAGACTTCGTCTCAAAAAAAAAAAAAAAGGTGAGCAAGCAAATGGAACAGAAAAGAGGGCGGGGACAAATATCACTACCTTGAGTATTTGCAGAGAGCTGGCTCCATCCTGGACTCTGTTTCCAGGTATTATTCCCCACCCCCCACCCTGCATGCCACAGCGGGTAGGGAGGGTTTTCAGAGCCACACCTGGGTGAGCAGTGTGGGACAGAACAAAGGGCACAGGCAGGGCCATGGGGAATGAACCCACGAGTGTCAGAACTCCCTGAATGCCACCCTTATTCTGGGACCTTCCTCGTTAGCCAGCTGGCTGCTCTGCCTTCTCCAGTGACTGCCATCCTCTGCAGGCCCCTGAAGAGGATCAGCGCTGAGCTCTGAGCAGCCCTGCTGGGTCAGCAGGCTGAGCCTGTCCCTGGGATTTCAGGGGTACCACTGGCACATCACTTTCCCGTCCCAGGGGGCTGCCGCTCCACCCTGACAGGCATCCCCGCATGCACCCTTAACAGGCAGCCCTTGTGTTCACAGCATGGGTTACCAGGTCAAACCCAGCCACCACCGTAGGGAACTTGGTCCGGAGCCCCATGGCTGTTCGGATGGATCCGGCGATGACAGTCACATCTTTGGATCTGTGAGACAGACGGAGAAGCCAGGAGATAGTGCCCAGCATGGACAGAGCTACGCACCCCAGAGCGCTCCCTCTGTGCGGGGCTGGGCTGCCCTGAGTGCACAGCAGCTGTTTCCCAAACCTGAGGCACCCCTGCTCTCCTGACCCCACCCCGACCAGGCCACTGCGACCCCAAATCCATTCTTCCAAGACACTTGCTGGCTCTGGGGGGACCTGTAGTCTCTGAAAAGTAGGTGGGGTCAGAGGACCCACGGGAACGGTCTTCTTTGTCTGCATTCAGACGAGGCCAAGTGGCCTTGTTCTCAACTCTCCCTGCATCTCTGTGAGGGGGTGTGGACGTGAATGCCATTCAGGGACAGCTCTCTGTCCACTGGACACCTGCAAAGGGCCACAGGTCACCCAAGGCCCTGTCGAGTTGGCTGGACCCGGTAACCATCTGGCCTCTTGCTGATTACATCAGCAGGACCCTGGGCACTGTAGAAACCCTACTGGGGCAAGGCAGGCAGCATGACAACAAAAACCCAAAACACAGGGTCTGGCGCAAGCCCACGACAGGCTCCAGGTGTCTGCCCCGACACTGACTCTTCGGCTCCAATCCTTGGCTCTGCGGGGACAAAGCCTTCCTGGCCTGCCCCACCTGTGGCCTCTCCCTGGAGCCTAGGCGAACCTGGGGGCACTGGTGCACTCAGCTCAGCCCTCACACCCTCCTGCCATTGGCCCTGGCAAGGGGCAGCTGGCACCAGGGAGCTGCTGAGCAGAACCTGGGCCCATCCTGCTAGCTCCCTCCTAGGGGGATGGGTACACAGGCCAGAGCTCAGCTCCTCCAGGCCCCAGGCCCCATGGAAGAGGAGGGGACTCAGGAGGACTGGGCACAGGAGGAGGTTCCTGGCGAGTCAATGCCCTGCAGAGCCCAGGCTTGTGGGTGGGCTGAGCAGAGGAGCCGCCATGCTGGATCCCTTCACTGCCCACCCTGTGCCTGACTCCGAGTGACCCCACTGGCTGCTGCTCTTGCGGCTGTGACCACGGACAGGTCCCAGCCTTAGTCTGGCTGCTCTTTAAAATGAGGGGAGAGGTCCTGCCTGGTAACGTCGGGACACTGACGCTGCAAAGCTTTCTGTGCTTCCCTGGGAAAGAGAGTGGGTCTTTCACCCAGGTGCCAGGCCACGCACGTGGTGCTATGGGGTTCTCCATACGCAGACCTGAGTCGGTGCCACTCAGGACGTCTCCCTGATCAGGGACTCGCACACAACCACACGCAGAACAAACTGAACCCAAACAATGGGCCAATTATCCAAACATTCAGGCAAAACCACTACACTCATAACTGTCAGCCAGGCCAACATGGAGTCACAGCCAAGAATTAGCTGGGAAATCGACTCGCTCTTCCTTTCAGTTTGGTGGTGAAGACCTGAACTAGGAGGGGCTTCAGGACCCATTCCTCCTACTGTCCTCACACACAGAAAGCCCCTTGGCACCCGTGCTGGGCGGCGTCTCCCGAACTGCCAGCCCCGCTTCTCGCCACTCCCCTCCCAGCCTAGCAGCCCTGCCTCCCTCCCAGTCTCCCAACCCCAGCTCTTCAGCAATGTTCTCTCTCACCTGTGATCCGAATAAATGATTTTGATTCCAATAAACTCAGGGTGAGTTTCCACAAACTTCTCAGCCACTTCCTGGTAACCCTTCACTGACCACTGTATGTCATGCTGCTCTCCACTGAGCTCGTACACCTAGGAGGGAAGCACAGCCAGGAGCCATCAGGCCAGCAGAGCGAGGCACCTCTGCCAGCCACCCCTGCCCAGCCACCCCCTCCCAGCCACCCCCTCCCCAGCCACCCTCTCCCAGCCACCCCCCTCCCAGCCACCCCATGCCAGCCACTTTTTCCCAGCCACCCCTTCCCAGCCACCCTTTCTCAGCCACCCCTTCCCAGCCACCCTTTCTCAGCCACCCCTTCCCAGCCACCCTTTCTCAGCCACCCCCTCCCAGCCATCCCCTCCCAGCCACCCCTTCCCAGCCATCAGTGAGCTCTGGGAAAAGTAGACGGGGATGGAGGACCCACAAAACAGTTTTATTTGCTTGTGTTTGGAGGAGCCCAAGTGGCCTTGCTCCCAAAAGTCTGGACAGGCTGGAATTGCGCTTCCCTTGTTCAGGTCCTCTATGTCTGCTGCTGCATGGGGAACTCCTAGCTGGCTCTAGGATAACCCTGATGCCCACCTGTCTCCTTCATTGCTGGGTTACCGCACTTAAAACAGCACCTGGGCAGGCTGTGGTGACTCACGCCTGTAATTCCAGCATTTTGGGAAACCAAGGTGGCAGATCGCGTGAGGTCAGGAGTCCAAGACCAACCTGGCCAACATGGTGAAACCCCCGTCTCTATTAAAATTACAAGATTAGCCTGGCATGGTGGTGCATGCCTGTTAATCCTAGCCCCAGCCACTGGGGAGGCTGAAGCAGGAGAATCGCCTGAACCCAGGAGGTGGAGGTTGCAGTGAGCCAAGATCATGCCACTGCACTCCAGCCTGGGCAACAGAGCAAGACTATCTCAAAAAAAAAAAAAAAAGGCTGAGCACAGTGGCTCACACCTACAATCCCAGCACTTTGGGAGGCTGAGGTGGGCAGATCACGAGGCCAGGAGTTCGAGACCAGCCTGGGCAATGTGGTGAAACCTCATCTCTACTAAAAATACAAAAATAACCAGGCTAGTGGTGTGCGCCTGTAATCCCAGCTACTTGGGAGGCTGAGGCAGAAGAATCGCTTGAACCCACGAGGTGAGGTTGCAGTGAGCTGAGATCATGCCATTGCACTCCAGCCTGGATGACAGAGAAAGACTCTGTCTCAAATATATATATATGGGAATTTCTGCAGAAACTGTGGGGTGAAGGGGATGGGAGCAATAATATGGAGGTGTCGATTACTTCCATGGCCATCAATTAGCCCCTATGATGTAAAAGAAACAGGGCTGGGCATTGGGAGGGATGAAAAAGTGCTAACAGACAAGAGGGCCGCCCTCAGGAGTGACAATATAGTCAGAGAGATAGACTTGTGCCACTAAAAACAGCTCACACGGGTAATCCCGGCACTTTGAGAGGCCGAGGCAGGAGGATCACTCTAGCCCAGAGGTCAAGACAAGCCTGGGCAATGAGTGAGTCTCTGTCTCTAAAAAGGAATGAAAGAAAACCATAGAGTCAGTTCTAAAGAGAAGCACATGGCCTCCCAGAAGCAGCAGCAGTTTGTGGTGACTGGATGCGGTCAGAGGAAGTCGCTAGCCCTGACCAAGCGCATGGTGGCTCCACACAGAGCCAAGAGCTGCCTGGAAGGGGGCGGTTCAAGGAGCCGAGGTTGAGACCCTCGGTGGGAGCCGAAGCTGTGCCCTTGCTAAGGAAGAAACACCTTCCTCCTCACTGCAGTCAGCTCTTGCTTCTGCAGCATCTCAGGAGCTGGGTCCACCTCCTCTGCCTTGTCTCACTCCTGCCTCCCCAGCCTGGGGGCCACCCACCGGCCTCCAGGCTGTAGCCATCGGATGCCCTTTGTCTCTGGGCAGTCCCTCAGACCCCACTTTCCCTCATGCTCGCAGAGCAGCCCTGCTGCTCTCTGATCTCCAGGGTGCTGCCCTGCCGCCTGGGCAAGGCAGTACGGGAGCAGGCGGCGAGGTCTCTGCTCTCTGCTGGTATTTGCTCTTGTTTCCTCTGCTGCCCCCAGGAAGCCCGGCACATCACACAGCCTCCACACCCTGCACCTGGCCAGGGCACTGGGCTCACTCTGCTCAGTTTCCCTGACTGCCTGACCTGGCACGGACATGCTCAGGGCTACTGAACATTAAGGCTACCAGAGCGTGCTGGAGGGGTGAACCTTAGGTACTGTTCACTCTGAGTCTGGTATTGTCCATTATTCGTATTATTATTTACTGAAGGGGGTCAGAATATGTCACCCCAATAGGCCACTCTCACAGAAGGACTGTTTGTAGCTGAAGGCAATTAAGAAGCAGCAAATGAAGAAAGAGCTCCTTGCCCACGTCAATGTCATCTGCCTCAGTTTCCCTTTGCGAAGGTGTTGACCTTCCCCCTCCTAGTACCAGGAGAATCACCATTTTCATTAGAAACAGAAAGTTGTCACCAAGATGGGCCCGCACAAACCAGCCTTGTAAAATTGCCCTTATCTTCCATGAGTTTCCCCCATGTTTACCTGCCCACAATTCACTGTCCCTAAAAGCCCAAACCTCTTTTCCTTCTTCTTGTCACTTCTTCACAATGTATTACCCGTTTTTACAGTGGACTATAAGCCCCCAGTCTAACTTCTTTGAGGCTTCACATCTTTTCAAGGAAGGCCTCCATCTATCTGAGCACATAAGAAATGTTTAGGCCGGGCGTGGTGGTTCCTACCAGTCATTCCAGCACTTTGGGAGGCGGAGGTGGATCACCTCGGGCAGATCACCCAAGGTCAGGAGTTCGAGAGCAGCCTGCCCAACATGGCAAAACCCCGTCTTTACTAAAAATACAAAAATTAGCCGGGCGTGGTGGTGGGCTCCTGTAATCCCAGCTACTTGGGAGGCTGAGGCAGGAGAATTGCTTGAACCCAAGAGGCGGAGGTTGCAGTGAGCCAAGATCATGCTGTTGCACTCTAGCCTGGGCAACAAGATGGAAACTCCATCTCAAAAAAAAAAAGAAAGAAAACTTCTTAATTTTAACATCTAATACAGGATATATTGATAGATGTAATCCACATCAATAAAAGGTATTTGAAATTATCAAAAAACATTTTTTTTTTTTTGAGACGGACTCTTGTTACCCAGGCTGGAGTGCAATGGCGAAATCTCGGCTCATCGTAACCTCCGCCTCCTGGGTTCAGGCAATTCTCCTGCCTCAGCCTCCTGAGTAGCTGGGATTACAGGCACCTGCCACCACGCCCAGCTAATTTTTTGTATTTTTAGTGGAGAGGGGCGTTCACCGTGTTGACCAGGATGGTCTTGATCTCTTGACCTCGTGATCCACCCGCCTAAGCCTCCCAAAGTGCTGGGATTACAGGCTTGAGCCACCGTGCCCAGCTCAAAAATTTTAAAGAGGCTCTGGGACCAGAAAGTTGGAGAACCATCTTAGGAAGTAGAAAAGCGCCTCTTCAAAGTGTCCTTTCTTGTTAAAGAATAATCATAAGTGTTAGAAAGAACAGTTCGTTTTAAAGAATTTCTTCGAAGCCTTCTTGCTCTTTGCTAGTAGCTCTGTTAAGCCGTATCCTATGCAGCTGTGAGACACGCTCACGGGCACGCGGTACATTCTGTGTCCTCGTACTTCAACCAAGACCCTTGTGCTAGCAGTGCTCACAGGCACATCCCAGCTCACAGCCCACGCCCCTTCCTTATTTGGACTTTCTTTTTGTTCTCCATTGCTTTTACCTGTTTAGGAAAGTTTTATGTTGTTAGCCAATCTAGTTTTAGTTTAGATGGTGAAGAAAATCAGAGACAACCCCAAATACATAAGGTAAATACGTTCGCTTTTCTTTTGTGAGTTGACTTTCGAAGCAAGATAGCTAACGGAAGCACCCTTTCTGCAGAAAGTAAAATTGCCTTGCTAAGAGATCCTTGTCTCGGTGCCAATTTTTTCTTTGCAGCACCAAACATCTGTTTCCAACAACCATTGTGTTAACCCAGAATTGTCACCTGCATTGTCTTAGATTCATCCAGCTGGCTCACAGCAGGGAAGAAGGGTCCTGTCCTGGCCCTGACCACCCTGTCGTTACTGAGTCTCCTGCCCACACCCACCGGCTGGACTGGGCAGCTTCACTCTTCCCACCCTCTCTCCTACAGCACCAGAGCAGGAGCTCCATCAAGAAACATTAATTCAAGGAGAGAACTGTCCACAAGGAGTTTAAAACCTACTAAGGCCCATGCAGCAAGGGCAAATAGACAGATGTTGGAGGAGTGGTGGGTGGAACCGTGGGAGCAGAAAAGAAGGGAGACAAAAGAAATCACCTTTAGGCCGGGTGTGGTGGCTCACGTTTGTAACCCAAGCACTTTGGAGGCCAAGGCGGGTGGATCACCTGAGGTCGGGAGTTCAAGACCAGCCTGACCAACATGGTGAAACCCCGTCTTAAAAAAAAAAAAAAAAAAGAAATCATCTTTAAAAAAAAATTAACAAATGACAACCCTGCTTAGAAGAAGATCTCTGAGGCTGGGCATGGTGGCTCACGCCTGTAATCCCAGCACTTTGGAAGGCCGAGGTGGGCGGATTACCTGAGGTCGGGAGTTCAAGATCAGCCTGGCCAACATGGTGAAACCCCGTCTCTATGAAAAATACAAAAATTAGCTGGACGTGGTAGTGAGCACCTGTAATCCCAACTACTCGGGAGGCTGAGGCAGGAGAATCACTCAAACCTGGGAAGCAGAGGTTGCAGTGAGCCAATATCATGCCACTGCACTCCAGCCTGCGAGACAGGGTGAGACTCCGTCTCCAAAAAAATAAGAGAAAATATCTGGCAGATTAATCAAGTCTGCAGAGGTACACGATGGACGCGACCAGAGCAGAGGGCAGTGGTTTGAAGCCGTCCATCTCAGCGGTCCTGTGCTTATGCCTGGAGAAGCCAGGAGCCCTGCCTTCCAAGGTCCTGCTCACCCTGCTGGTGTCATAGCCAGGAGTGCCTGGAGAACAGGGTCAGGCCCCCGGGGCTGGCAACATCAAAGCCTGCTCAGAGCACCTTCCCAGTCTCCTTACCAAGGCTGCCCATGAAGGAAGGGCCCAGGATGGAATCAGATCAGAAGCAGCACCCCAGTTCAAAGAGAGGGAAGCCCTCTCAGGGTAAGGGACACCTGCAGCTCCTCAGGGGTTCTGGTCAGCCTTCCAGATTCAGGCTCTCAATGGAGACTCCTCATTCTGTCTGAAATCAATACAGATGCTGGGCGAGGTGGCTCACGCCTGTAATCCCAGCACTTTGGGAGGCTGAGGTGGGTGGATCACGAGGTCAACAGATGGAGACCATCCTGGTCAACATGGTGAAACCCCATCTCTACTAAAAATACAAAAAATTAGCTGGGCATGGTGACGCGTGCCTGTAGTCCCAGCTACTCGGGAGGCTGAGGCAGGAGAATTGCCTGAACCCAGGAGGCGGAGGTTGCGGTGAGCCAAGATCGTGCCATTGTACTCCAGCCTGGGTAACAAGAGCGAAACTCTGTCTCAAAAAAAGAAATTAATACAGATAGCTAACAGAAGCACCCTCTCTGCAGAAAGTAAAATTGCCTTGCTAAGAGATCCTTGTCTCAATGCTAATCCTAATCCCAGAGGATTATTGCAAGGATCAAACAAATTAATAGTTTTAATGCTTTCGGAAATGATCACTACTAATAATAATGTTATTACAAATCTATCACCAGATCTAGAAAAACAACTCAAAACCCGCAGTTGCCTCAGGAACACTGAGTTGACGTCTAAGAGTTTAACAATCTGGCCGGGCGCGGTGGCTCACGCCTGTAATCCCAGCACTTTGGGAAGCCGAGGCAGGTGGATCCTGAGGTCAAGAGATCGAGACCATCCTGGTCAATGAGGTGAAACCCCGTCTCTAATAAAAATACAAAAAAATTAGCTGGGCATGGTGGCACGTGCTTGTAATCCCAGCTACTCGGAGGCTGAGGCAGGAGAATTGCCTGAACCCAGGAGGCGGAGGTTGCCATGAGCCAAGATTGCACTACTGTACTCCAGCCTGACGCCTGGCAACAAAGCAAGACTCCATCTCAAAAAAAAAAAGAAGAATTTAACAATCTGTAAGTACAAGAAACTAGTGTTAGCCGTTCATCTAAGGCTAAGTGATATAAAAAGTTGCCCTGAACTCACTTTAGATTATCTCAATTACTAACTATAGTTTAATAGAGAACTATAAATCTTTAGGGAAGGTATTTAAAATAAATGTGACTTACATAAAGCAATATAATATACAATTTTACTGTCTATGATATCATGGAAGTAGAACAAAAAAATTTTTTTGAGACAGAGTTTTGCTCTTGTTGCCCAGGCTGGAGTACAAGGCACAATCCTGGCTCACTGCAACCTCTGCCTCCCAGGTTCAAGCAATTGTCCTGCCTCAGCCTCCTGAGTAGCTGGGATTACAGGCATGAACTACCACACCCTACTCATTTTGAATTTTTAGTAGAGATGGGTTTTCCCCATATTCATCAGGCTGGTCTGGGACTCCCAGTCTCAGGCGATCCACCCGCCTTGGCCTCCCAAAGTGCTCGGATTACAAGCGTAAGCTACTGCACCCAGCCCAGGAAATATAAAATTTTGAAGCTGGGAGGAACCACAGCTGAACTTGGGAGCAGAGAGTTGTTAAGGTCATACTACAACTGGTTTGTATCAGAACAGAAAATAGGACTCGGAGTTTCTTTTATTTTAGTTTTGAGACAGAGTCTCGGCCGGGCATGCTGGTTCACGCCTGTAATCCAAGCACTTTGCAGGCCAAGATGGGTGGATCACCTGAGGTTGAAAGTTCAAGACCAGCCTGACCAACATGGTGAAACCCCGTCCAAAAAAAAAAAGAGGGAGAGACAGGGTCTCACTCTGCCACCCAAGCTGCAATGCAGTGGCATCATCGCGGACAGCCTTGAGCTCCCAGGGTCAGGTGATCCTCCCACATCAGCCTCCCGAGTAGCTGGGACCACAGGTGCATACCACCATACCCGGCTAATTACTTGGTTTTGTAGAGATGGGGGTTTTGCTATGTTGCCTAGGCTGGTCTCGAACTCCCGAGCTCAGGGAATTTACCTGCCACGGTCTCCCAAAGTGGTGGGACTATGTAACCACTGCATCCCATCAGGACTGGGAGTTTCTTTCTTATTTTTTTTTTTTTTTTTTTTGAGACGGAGTTTCGCTCTTGTTACCCAGGCTATAGTGCAATGGCGCGATCTCTGCTGACCGCAACCTCCGCCTCCTGGGTTCAGGCAATTCTCCTGCCTCAGCCTCCTGAGTAGCTGGGATTACAGGCACGCGCCACCGTGCTCAGCTCATTTTTTGTATTCTTAGTAGAGACGGGGTTTCACCATGCTGACCAGGATGGTTTTGATCTCTTGACCTCGTGATCCACCTGCCTCAGCCTCCCAAAGTGCTGGGATTACAGGTGTGAGCCACCGCGCCCAGCCAGGACTGGGAGTTTCACTCAGCTCTCACCACCAGCACATCATTCACTTCACAAGTGTTGAGTTTCTCCCATGTGCCAGACGTACCCACAGGCTTGATGCCATAATCTCATTTAATCCTTGAAACTACACTATGAGTTAGGTCTCATTTTACAGATAAGGATTTTGAGGTTGAGAAATTCAGGTCCCCTGCATAATTAGTGGGGCTGGAAGCCGACCACATTTCAGAATTTTGCTTGCCCTGAGGTGTCTCCTGCCCCCGCCTATAGAAAGGTAACAGTCACCTCCAGGTGTAATCCCAGCACTTTGGAAGGCCGAGGCAGGCAGATCACATGGTCACGAGTTCAAGACCAGCGTGGCGGATATGGTGAAACCCCATCTCTACTAAAATTCAAAAAATAGCTGGGCGTGGTGGTGGGCGCCTGTAAACCGAGCTACTAGGAAGGCTGAGGAAGAACAGTTTGAACCCAGGAGGTGGAGGTTGCAGTGAGCCAAAATCACACCATTGCACTCCAGCCTGTGTGACAGAGCGAGACCCCATCTTGAAAGAAAAAAAGAGGGCTGGACGTGGTGGCTGATGCCTGTAATCCCAGCACTTTGGGAGACCAAGGCAGGTGGATCACCTGAGGTCAGGAGTTCAAGACCAACCTGACCAACAGAGTGAAACCCTGTCTCTAATAAAAATACAAAAACTAATAAAAATACAAAAACTAGCCGGGTGTGGTGGCAGATGCTTGTAATCCCAGCTACTTGGGAGGCTGAGGCAGAATAATTGTTTGAACCTGGGCGGTGGAGGTGGCAGTGAGCCTATATTGTGCCACTGCACTGCGGCCTGAGTGACAGAGCAAGGCCTCATGAAAGAGAGAGAGAGGGGGAGAGAAAGAGAGAGAAAGAGAGAGAGAGAAGAGGGAAAGAAAGGGAGGGAGGGAGGGAGGGAGGGAGGAAGGGAGGGAGGGAGGAAAAAGAAAGAAAGGGGAAGGAAGGAAGGAGAAAGAAGGAAAGGAAGGAAAGGAAGCTAGGTGACTGTCACTAGAGTGACATCTCAGCCCCGGCTGCACATTGGTATCACTCGAGGAGAGGAAAAATGCCTGTGTCCCACCCCAGAGCAACCAAATCAGAATCTGTGGGGTTCGTGACCCCCCAGGTGGCTCTAGGGTTCGAGATACAGCTGGGGCGAAGTTCCGCCCTGTTCCAATTGGATAGACAAGTAAACAGCACAATGACAGCGTCGTCAGACGAGTCCTATCAAAACGGGAGCAGTTAAGAGCGCGTGTGTTCTCCTAAAGTGACACCAGCAACGTGACACAGGGGTCACTTGATTCGGCAAGGAGCCAGTGGAGCTCTGAATGCTAAGAATGCAGCCAAAAGCCTGGGGGCCGGGGGCGGGTGGAGGGAGCACTAGAAATGCCTACGATAGGAATGACAACGGCTAAGCAAACGTCTCGAAACGGCTGTCACAGGTTCTGTGCCCCGGCCTGCGTCCCACGGCCTCTCCCTCCTCAGTGCCAGCAGCGCCATCCCCGGCGGAGAACTCTGGGGTCTTGGAAGAGCCCCGTGAAGACTCAGGGGACCCAGCGGGGCCTCCTCCTCTGCCGCGGGGGAAGGGACCGGGCCCTGGAGATAAGACCCGCCTGGCGACTGTTGCCACCGGCGAGCGGCCTTCGTCACCGAGCGTCAGGGACACAATGGGAGGCTGTGCGGCCGGGTCCGACGGCAGGCGGGGGAGGCCGGGCGGCTCCGCCAAGCGATTCCCGAGAAGGCCGTTTTGAGCGGTTCACGTGTTGATGCCCCCCCCCCAACTCCGGCTAATGGGGGGCATTGAGACCTCGACTCTGACTCCCCGTGGCAAAAACCTTTGTTCCAGGGTCAGACCCGAACAAATGGTCACACCCCATCCCCCTCGGCCCCCACGAGAATCCCAAATCCGGGCAGCCTTCTCGCACCCTCTCCAAAGGCCGGCTGGGGGACGCGCAGGGGCGGGAGGCGTGAGGACCGGCCCCGAGGTCTCTGGAAGGAGAAAATGGCACCTACAGAACAAGGGGGGCCGAGACGGAACAGGAAGCCGGTGCTCGGGCCCCCTCTCCCTCCCTCCCATCGAGCGCTCCGCAGCTTCTCCCACGCGCAGCCCCACCGCGCTCAAGATGAGGGTCCCCGTCTCAGCGTCTCCTCCCGCCCCTTTCCTCCTCCCCTCCACCCACGGGAGATCGCAGGGTTGTGCGAGGGTCGGGGTTCCCTTTGCACGCCCACACCGAGACAGTCGGCAGGGTTTGCCCAGCAGGAAGCTTCTCCCCTGCCAGGGCCAAGGTCCATTCCAGGCCATCCATCTGCCCTGGAAAAAGGAAAATTGAAGCCAGAAGCCCTCTGGGATCTCCATTTGAGGTGGGCGTGGCTATGAAGCGCCCGGAGAGCCCCGCACCGTGAGAAAAGCAACGAACTTGGAGCCCTGATCTGGTCCAATCACCCCTTGCTACCTACGTGACCTTCATCGAGCTCTTTGACCTTTCCAAGCTTTAGTTTATATATATATATATATATATATTTTTTTTTTTTTGAGACGGAGTTTCGCTCTTGTTACCCAGGCTGGAGTGCAATGGCACGATCTCGGCTCACCGCAACCTCCGCCTCCTGGGTTCAAGCAATTCTCCTGCCTCAGCCTCCTGAGTAGCTGGGACTACAGGCACGACGCGTCACCATGCCCAGCTAATTTTTGTATTATTAGTAGAGATGGGGTTTCACCTTGTTGACCAGGATGATCTCGATCTCTTGACCTCGTGATCCACCCGCCTCGGCCTCCCAAAGTGCTGGGATTATAGGCGTGAGCCACCGCCCCACCCGGCTAGTTACAACATTTATAAGATGAATTAACAGCTGGGCATGGTGGCTCACACCTGTAATCCTAGCACTTTTGGAGGCTGACATAGGTGTGCTGCCTGAGCTGAGGAGTTTGAGACCAGCTTGGGCAAAATGGTAAAACCCCATCTCCACTAAAATACAAAAATTAGCTGAGTGTGGCGGCTTGCGCCTGTAGTCCCAGCTACTCAGGAGGGTGAGGCAGGAGAATCGCTTAAACTCGGGAGGCAGAGGTTGCAGTGAGCTGAGATCCTGCCATTACACTCCAGCCTGGGGACAGAGCCAAATTCTGCCTCAAAAAAAAAAAAAAGCGGTGGAGGAGTGGGGAGGTGCCGGGGAAAGTGGCTCATGCCTGAATCCCAGTAGTTTGGGAGACTGAGGCAGGCAGATCACGAGGTCAGGAATTCAAGACCAGCCTGACGAACATAGTGAAACCCCATCTGTACTAAAACTAAAAAAATTAGCCGGGCATGGTGGCCTGTGCCTGTAATTCCAGCTACTGGGGAGGCTGAGGCAGGAGAATCATTTGAACCCGGGAGGCAGAGGTTGCAGTGAGCTGAGATTGTAACATTGCACTCCAGTCTGAGCAACAGAGAGAGACTCTATCTCAAAAAAAAAAAAAAAAAAAAAAATAATTAATATCTTCCTTAAACTAGCCTCACAACAGGAGCTTCAAATGTGACAATGTAGGTAAAGTACTTTGTAAAGGTCAAGGTGAAGCAGGTACTTCCTCAAAGTGTGGTCTGGGTCAGGCCACCTGCGTTAGAATCCACAAGAAAGGGGCTGGGAGAGGGGGACTAGTTATTTTTACGGCTTCCTGACCCTACCAGACAACGCAGAATTAGAACCTGGGAGGTTAGCATCCAAGACCTGATTTTTTTTTTTGAGACAGAGTTTTGCTCTTGTTGCCCAGACTGGAGCTCAGTGGCTGGATCTTGGCTCACTGCAACCTCAGCCTCCCAGGTTCAAGCGCCCTGCCTCAGCCCCCCAGAGTAGCTGGGACTACAGGCGCCTGCCACCACGCCTGGCTAATTTTGTTTGTATTTTTAATAGAGACAGGGTTTCACTATGTTGGCCAGGCTGGTCTTGAACTCCTAACCTTGTGATCTGCCTGCCTTGGCCTCCCAAAGTGCTGAGATTACAGGTGTGAGGCACCCTGCCTGGCCCAATACCTGATTTTAAACAGCACCTCCGAGTTCTTCATGTGCACCCCAATGTCTGAGAACCCCCATCCACACACATGATGACCACTACTGGGGCCTACTCCTTGTAAGATGTGGGCTGGTCTGAAATAAGTCACAATGTAGTTGAGAAATCAGGACTGACATATTCTGGCATAAATAACACAAAGCGATGCATTTGGGCTACTGAAAAGAAACGTTACAGGGAACGAAGGAATGAGGGAAGTGGAAAGCCCTGGTCCCAGACAGAATGAAGTGGGGGCTGCTGGCCTGCCAACTGGGCGGACCTGAAATGCTCAGGAGGGAAGGGTGAACCTTGATAGACTGGGAGAGGCTTCCAAACACAGAAATTAGCCAGACACAGTGGCTCATGCCTGTAATCCCAGCACTTTAGCAGGGTTGGGGTGAGTGAATCACCTGAGGTCAGGAGTTCAAGAGCAGCCTGGCCAACATGGTGAACCCATCTCTGCTAATAATACGAAAATTAGTTGGGCTCGGTGGTGCACGCCTGTAATCCCAGCTACTTTGGAGGCTGAGGCAAGAGAATCACTTTAACCTGGGAGGCGGTGGTTGCAGTGAGCCCAGGTCATGGCATCATGCTTTAGCCTGGGCAGCAAGAGTGAAACTCCTTCTCAAAAATAAATAAATAACATATCTTGCTGAGTGCGGTGGCTCACGCCTGTAATCCTAGCACTTTGGGAGGCTGAGGCAGGCGAATTACCTGAGGTCACAAGTTCAAGACCAGCCTGGCCCACATGG